GTCAGAGCAAAACCTTCTCACAAAACTAACAAAATATTTTTTCTTCAAATACTGAATATTGTTTACAAGATAATGACCATAGCTTGTAGAAGTTGGTGAGGCAATACCATTTGATGGGGTGATACCTGCTATCCTGCCATCCTGCCATCCTGCTTGGAACTCATTAAAGAGCTGTTAATAAAAATAAGAAAATTGAATTTTTTACAGCTTTTAATCAGGGATCTTTTATAAGAATATAATTTCTGTATAGATCAATATTTTACTAATGCTACCACAAAGTCATTTATTTCAAATACAGAGATGTAATTAACATTTGTTAGGGGTAAGTTAGAGCAGCAGACTATTCAAACCTATAAAACAAACATTGTAGCCCACTTGTGCTCCTAACTGAAGTAGTAAGCAGTACAATTAATCTGCATTTGCTACTTAATAAGCTTTTAAAACACACGTGTTTAAAAATCTGTCATAATTAACAGTTTACTTGGACATTTGTCCACATCTTAGCTCTGCCACTGATTTGGGACAAGACTTAGGTTATTTAGCCTGTTATTATATTTGTTTCACATGTCTGGAAGTAGATGATACTTCTCAATCACCCCATGGAGAAGTCAGAGATTAAGAATGAATTTGCTCAAGTTTGCAAAGCTTTTTGTGGTCCTTGGTTTACTGTGTGGAATTGGAATGCAGTACACACATGCCAAATACTCCTACTATCCTACGGCAACTGGGGACAGATTTTTCACATACCAGCTCTTTTAGTGTGGGACAAATGGCTGCTGAGTCAAGTGGTGATTGGGGCACATTGAGGACAAGACAGACAAAATACAAGCAGAAGAGCAAACAGTTAGTCTAATGTTTCAGGAAAACAAAACAAACTCCCAGTAAAATCAGAGTCTCTGTAAACAAGAGAACAACATAACCCCTTCTCAGAAGAGTCTTTGATAAGCTGTTGTATTGATAGCTGATTCTGGCAGCTGGCAACTGCAGAATATTAATGAAGCATTGGTGCAAGAGCAATCTGAACAGGTTGATCATGACCGACTGAAGTCTAAGGTGCATGATATCAAGATACATTATTTATCTGTACCATTTGCTCTTAGTTTGACCTTATTGCTTGCTTGCTGTTTTCTCTCTTTTTTCCCCTCTTTTCCTTTCCTTTCTTTTTCCTTCTCTCCTTTCCTCCCTTTCTCCCTTTCTCTCTTTCATTCACTAGTTCTCATTTGTTTTATTAAGTTCAAACGTGCTGAGACCTATATAATATAAAATGTTGCATATCACATGTTTTCTTACCTTGTTTCTCTCCTATTATTTGTTAGTAGACACATGCAGCTCTTACTACAGTAAGCTATGTTCTTATTCACTGCTTACATAAATGAGATTTATACAGGAGAACTAGAAGGAGTTTAGGATAAAATCCTTGTGCACAGTCTGACTCAGGGTATGGAAAGGCTGAGCAACCGCAACCTCTCTGTATCTGACAGAGAGAAGGGAGATTGATGGCTTCACTCAGGACTGCTGCAGTCACTATTCCCCTGCTGCTTCCCTGGGTGAAGGGCGGGCAGCGTTCCTTACCCACTGCTTGCCTATAAAAGCACAGGTATGAGCAGTGCTCGCTTGCTAGCTTTAAGCACATGATGGAATTCATGACTGACTAAACACTGCTTGTGACCTTTATTTACTCAAGTACTGCCTTTTTTTTTTTTTTTTTTTTTTTCTGTCCGATACCATGTCCTTCACACGAACATCATCTCACATGCCTGGTTTTACGCTTTCTAACATATTTCTTTTTATTCTTCACAGCCCATAATAAGCTCTGAGAGCTCTGAAAAGGCATTTTGCTTGCCACTGCTTCATTCCTCCCTCTTCTGCCTCTTCCCTTGTCAGCATTGATATCCACCCATATAAAAAGTTGTTTTGTTTTGGTTCCTAGTGGATTTTGCACTTGTCTGTATACTACCTATAATATCCAAATCCTACTAGTTAGACTTAGATTAGAGCTAGGTGTATTAATGTACTAGACTTCTTTGGGAGGAGTTCAGTTGCAGAGATATGAAGTGCAGATTTTACAGGGGAAAGTTGCTCTAACTCCTGAGCAGGTATGGGATGTTGGAGATGTTGGATTTAATGTTTCTAACAAAATGAATACTTTTTTCCTCTTGGTGCAAACATGTATTTATTGTTTTTTTCCTCTTCATCTTTTATTAACTGGAGCCAAAATTGGCTATCACAATCAGAACATCAGGGAGACTATTATTAACTCTACTCTGTGGGATAAAAGGAGGTGTGAGATACAATGATCCAGGCTCTTCTTTGTGACAGTGTAACATCTAGCGTAGGTTAGCAGACAGCCTTTGCTGCAGCAGTGCTGCAAGCTGGCCATGCAGTGGGCTTTGCAGCAGTTTGCCTCTAGGCTGGGGCATAGGAGCAGCCAAAGCCCCTTTGCTCGTCTCCTTAATGCCCCCTTACTTTATTCTGAAGCTTTTGAAGAGAGGAGAGCACTGAACTGTCAGAGCCTGTTCTGTTGCCCTAAAGGAGTGGATATAACAGGATCTTTCCAAAGCGCTGATGCCTTAGTGACATTCAGGAACCTTCAGCATTCTCCTGACCAAGGTGGTGGCAGTGATTTTTCAAAGTGGCTGTGTATTATCTTTAGGAAAAGGAGTGCTTCCTCAATAAATTGATAATCCCTTTCCATTTTTATGGAGAGCAATGCCTTGATCTTGTGTGACATTATTAAAATTGATAACAGAGATAGAACTGTTGTCATATGAGTATGAAATACGAAAATAAATACGCTCAAACCTTTGAAGTGTAAGAAAACAATAGTTAACCTTTTTTAGGAAATAAACAAAAGTTTTCTCAGTTGAGCAGAGCTTTCTGGGACAGATAGCAAACTGTTGTTTACTGTCATTCAATTCACAGAGTTCTGCTTTTCATGCCAGTTTGAGGTTTTGTGCTTTTGAAGGTGATCGATCATTGCTCTGTGTCTTATAAGTTACAGTGGTATCTCTGAGATGCTCTCCTTCTAAATGGGTCCTGATTCAGCAAAAACAAACTGGTATTTAACTGCTTTGCCAAAGTTAAGTCTCATTGACCAGAATTGTCTCTACTTATCCAACTTCCAGTAGCAGGCCCAGGTTTTCCTCGCTGATGTATGTCAATGGACTAATATTAAACTGAGACTAGGATAAGCAGAAACAAAGTGCATGCCTGAGATTCTTTCTGGACATGCATATAAAAAGAATTATATAAAAATATTTTTATATTTTATATAAAAATCTTTATGTTCTCTGTGTACAGCTGCCAGCAGAAGATCTGTATATGATGCAGAAGCTGAACTACCTGGTCTTTTGCAACCTTGCATAAAAGCCAGATATTTAGTGGTTGATTTAGCCTCCCCCTGGAGGTCTGCCAGTGTCAGGGTGATGTCTACAATCAGCTTCAGTAAAGTGGAGAATCAGAAGTACAGTGGGTTTCTATCACAGAGCTAGCCTAATGATAGATAATCTTAAAAGCAACACTTCGCTAGTTTTGTGGCATACATTGCATGCAGTGCTACATGGCATTTACCCTGAAAGTACTCCAGGCGCTATCCTGAGAGATTAATATAAACTGACACAGTTCAGTTTTTAGTTTTTGTTAAGGTAATCATATCACTCCCACTGCTAATGCAGTTTGTTGCGAGAAATTGGAATATGCCATAAGTGGCACAGAAGAAATCACATAGAGATTTGCTGGTAATCATAAGCATAACAGCAACCTACACACTGTTATCATCCACAGCTTTTGCTACTGGTATGGCAGGAGACCAATCAAGAGTAATAAGTTGCCTAAATGCCCAAGAAAGAAACAGGGAGGAAGGAGGAATTTTCAGTTCATGCTGTCTGTGTAGGCTGGATTACACAGAAGAAAACACAGTGGACTCCAGCTATGTGTTTAATAATAAAGGGATTTGATAGTGGAAAAATCTCAGTATTACAAAATGGATTCTCACTACTAGGTGTTTTCTAAAAAGGTTATGCAGAATGTAGAAAGCTTAGGCTTTTAGATATCAGTACGATAATAACAGTATGAAATTTATTTCAGGCCTTAGGAATTTTATGTGGATTACCTATGATTTTTTGAGCTGACTGAATGTGTTGGTTGCACCTCTCAGAACCTCTGTAAGATATCGCCCTGGTGGTATCTATTATGGTAAATTCTAAATTAGAGAATATCTGTGGAAAGTTTGTGAGGTTATTAAAGACTTCCTGATGTCTTCTGACATGTGGAAACAGAGCAAAAGTAGTACCATCAAGCTCCACCTTGTTCCTGCAAGTAATGTCAACATCAACTAATATGAAGATGAAAATTTAAAAAATAAGAGTACAATATAGAATTGTAATAATTTGGTTTTATTTTATCAATACACAGGGAATTTTAAATCTCTGTGGAGAATCCTCTTTTTATATGTTCTCATGAGATAAGCAAGAGATATCAACAACAGTCAAAAATTGGATAATGATAGCATATGACAAAACACTGTGTAATGAATTAATTCCTTGCTGTTGTTGCTGATGCTTTTGTTGAGGTACCAGTAAATCTTGCTAACACAATGGAATTTAGTGATAATTTACTGTAACTTTTTTCCATTGTTTCCTGTAAATCCAATTTCCTTCTTTTTTTTTTTTTTCTTTTTAAATCCACACCATAGATAGTAGAGATATGTAAATTAACCCATACAAACACATCACTTTCCAATAAGTGTTTAATTGCAAATACAACTTCAGTGACTGAGATCAGTAATTTGTAACAGTTGCCACATACTGAGTAGGGTATTGCAAATATTCTTGCCTCAAGTTTTTTTGCAGAACAGATTTTGCTTCTAAAACCAGATACTCATGTTCCATGGTCCCATGAAAGCTGGAAATTGGTCTCTGCTCTGAGGATTCTTTATAATCCCTGAAGATGATGACTGAATACTGCAGTTTGGCAACCTTGTTTCTTCTTTTCTTTTTCAGCCTAGTTGGAGAAGAGCCAGAGACCAAAGATGCCACCACCAGCAGCAGCACCACAATACCCACCTCCAGATGGAGGTTGGGGATGGGTTGTGGTCTTCGGGGCTTTTATCTCCATTGGATTTTCCTATGCATTCCCCAAAGCCATCACAGTATTCTTCAAAGAAATACAAGAAATCTTCCATACATCATATAGTGAGATAGCTTGGATATCATCAATAATGTTGGCTGTCATGTATGCAGGAGGTAAGACATTTGTGAAATTTGCAAATACCATAGTTTTTGTTTAGTTAGTTTGTTTGTTTGTTTTCCCATGGTTTTGAAGCATTTAAAGTTATTTACTACCTGATTTTATCATTATTACCTAAAGAATTTACCCAAATGCTTGCATCTTTTTGTATAATACTTTATCAGAGAGTACTGGTAGCCACATCACCATTAAAGCACTGTTTACTTTCTCTTTTAAAGCATTTTATATTCTCTTCCTTTTTATTTTCCCCTTAAGACATTTTGTGTGTTCCTCTACTTAATTCTATTTTGCAGTTTTGCCCTAAATTCACAGTTTCTGAGAGTCACATTTTCCAACAAAGCAATGGCCAAGTAACATCTTGTGGAACTGGGAATACATTTGGTCAGTTTCCACTGCCTTGGTGAGACCTCTCAGATCAAATGATGGAGCTTAAAGACAGAAAATTATTACAGCAATGAGAGTTCATTAGTCAGGCACAGGTATTCCTCTGTAGACAGAGGTTTTATATCTTGTTTCTATTTGTCCTAAAATAAAATCTTACTTTCCTTTTAGACCAAGAGCCATGTTTCATACATGCCATCTGTATGACAGCTAAGATATAGACAGTCTTATTCTTGGGACTGAATTGAACAGTGAACATAAATTCTCTGATATCTTTTTTCTTGTGAGCAAGCAAGTAAAGAACAAGACTGATGAAAAAGGATTTTAAACTATAAAGCCATGTTTAAGTATTGTCAAATCTGCTTTGGCAGGTTTTGAGTCTATCAACCTCAAAGACTAACTGTTAAATTCTGCTTGATTTCTTAATTCTTTCAGAAAATTTTTTTTTAGGTATTGGTGGGAGGTAGCTGATACTTAGGCAAAACACTTTTTCAGGCAGTCCAGAGGTCCCAATAAGAGGTTATTTTGGACAATAAATCTGGCATTGCCCTTTCTTTGGATGTTATGAGGTGATCACTTGGAACATCTCAGACTGTTTGCAATGATGGAGCAATTAAATGCATACATTTATATGTGTGTGTGTGTATGTATATGTACATATGTATAAGTATATATACATAGAAAATGAAAACATTGTGCCAATAACACATTGAGATTCAATATCTTTAATTACTGAAGAACATAACTCCAATATTTTTTGAAGTGGTATCTATGTAATAGTAAAGTACAGTATTATCAGGTCTAGTGAACAATCTATTGAAGGAAACATGAAGTCTCATTTTTGGCATGGTAATTTTTTATCTCTGATTTCAACCTACCTAATTTCTGACGCCTGAATGACCCTCACTCCTTTAGCAGTCAGGGAAGAGAGGTAGGTGCCTACATAGCGGAACTCAGGCTACCTGGGTTGCTCTCTCTAAGTACCTGTTTTTCCCCTCTGACTATAAAAATGAACCTGCGACCACCATATCGTTAGCTTAAGCACCTCAGGTAAATTTTTTTCAGTTAATGGAATGGAACAATGGATCATTTTTTCAGATGCTGGCAGAGACGTGGACCTTATAAAGACATCTTGAAAAATGATGTCACTATCAACCAAAACTTGCTTTTCAGATACTTCATCCCATTTTTATCCGTATACTAGTAGAGAATAGTAAATGATTTTATAGGACCAACAAAAATAACAAAGTGATTCACCAGGTGAAGAAGTAACTTGAGCTAATGCAATCAAGAGTGGAGTAAAAGAGCAGGTATGTCCCGTCACATTCAGGTCCCCCCTAATGTAGTTGTTTCTTAAGGATGCATCAGCACTCGCACTGTGGAGTGTATGTGTGTAACTGTGGAGGCTCCTGAACAAGTGATGGACACATCTGGAACAAGAGAAGAGCACAGGACTTGAAAAGCTGGAGTTTGTTTCTGCTTTCCTTATTCTATGACTTTTGACCTGGACATTTTTTCACCACGTTTTCTAATCTGAGATAAATCTTCTAAGGGCAGACTTGCATTATAGTGCAGGTGCTGTTCTTTTGTTTTAATCACCAAATAACATTTAATTTATGCTGTTTGTGTCATCTCAAAGTTCACCCAAGTTTTATTAACAGTACAGATGCAAATCTGAGGACATTTTGTTGTGGTCATTTTTATCTATGAGGTTCAATGTGCAGAACTTTTCATGTAAAATACAAAGCATTTAGTACTTCCACTTTTTCTTTCATACTTGTTTTACTGTTCTGAGTACCAGCATACTAACTTCACCTGTACATTGACATTAAAAATACAAAATGGTTTGCTCTTCATTCTGCTAACATCTGCCCCAGTCACTATGAAGATTATCAGCACAGGAACAGTAGGTAAAGTTGTTTGGATATCTTGTTACAGACTTGTGGTTTCAAAATGCTGAGAATGACGACCCTGCCTGATATAAACACTCTTTGAAGCCATAGCTTCTCTGGAACTACTTCCTAAAAAATAGGCCATTTAGACAATCACTGGCAGAATATGAAATAGCAATCAGGAAAAACATTTCTGAAGGAAATCACTCCATTGTTTTTACTTTCTGAAGGTGGTTTGATTCCTTAGCATTTGATGTACTGTAATGCGAAATACACGTTTAGACCGTGAGTACAAGGTGTATTGTTTACTATGAAGTGTGATATGTACATCTGTGATGAACACTCTGTTCATCATACTACTAATTAAGATAACCTGAAAACATCTAAGATCTGTCATCCTCATTAGAGCTTAGCGTTCAACCTATTAATCATCACAGTGGGGTCAGTGAATAAGTTAGAGTCTGTGCAGACACTCTTTGCTTTGGAGGCTGCAGCCTCTTGCAGTAATTAGCTGGCATCTGTGTTTCAGTAACAAGGTATTAACTTACCTTTCAATGCCTGAGAAAAAAAAGAAACTAATAAAAGGCATCCAGTAAGGAGCTAAAAGAATGTTAATTATGTTTATCACTTACTTCATACTTAGAATAAATGGCATTAAATTATAGCAGACCATCTGGCAATCCATATGGTCTCCTGCAGTCCTGGTTAATTCCAGCAAATAGGTCAAGCACAGCATTCACCCCGTTAGGAAAGCACTAAGCAGAGGTGACAAATCTGATAAATCAGTATGAATCTCTTTTCCCCTCTCAATCTGGCATAATATGCACTTTCATACTGTTTTTTGCTGGTTTTGGAGGTTTTGTTTGTTTGTTTTCATAAAGTCTCTCTCTTCCCCCCCTTCCACTCCTGGATGTTTGTTAGAACCTACTAAAAAGCCATCCCAAAAAGCAAAATCCTGTGATATGACCAAGGTTACAGGTATTGCACAGCCTCTACTGTTCAGCCTGTGCTTGAAAAAGCATCCTCTGGAGAACAGCGATAGTTCAGTCTCCATGGCAACTCTTTCTTCTGCCTCTCTTGAGCAGAGACTGTCAATTGTATTAAATTAAGGATGATGGTTTTGCGATGGACTCCTACACCCAAGGGACTGTGACTGAGACCACCAGACTTCTGTTACTGTAGGACAGAAGCTGGGATAAAATGAAATTAGTTGAGTTATCCTGACAGAGCAACCTCTGTTTCTCTATGTGTATGAACATATGTATATAAAATGTGTGTGCATGTATGTATTCTTACATGCATAAACTATATGTCTATTCATATATTTATAGAGCCATATTTATGCTCTAAAATGCACAAACATTAAGGAATTCAAGAGAAAGATTAAATACATTTGACCTCAAGTTCTTTCAGTTCATTCTTTTTCAAAACTTGTTCTCTCACTTTGCACAGAGTTAACAGCCAGACATGATTAGAGAGCTTCTTATTGGAGCTCGATCTGTTTCCAGTAAAAATGTTTTCAGTGCTTTCAGTGTAGGTTTGATAGGAGCCTTAGTAGCAGCTATGAAAGCCATGTGACAGGTCTGGTGATTTCAGACACAGCTGACCTTGAGTTTTAGATTTCCTTAGGGAAAAAGCCGTTAGTTTACTAGCTTGTCTTTAACTCTTTTTCTGTCATTTTTCCAAGGACAATTTCAGTTTGAGGTTTTTCTTTTGTTGTTTTGTTTGGGCTTTTTTTCCAAAGCAACTTTTTGTGTGTGACATTGGGTTATAGAGATTAGTTTGAGACCTGACAAATCCTTCAAGCCACACCCAGCCATGAAATGTGGGATAGTCTTGCCTGTCTGAAGTTCAAAAAAGAAAGGTCCATTTAATTCTAGGTGATATTTCTAAGAAAATAATTTTAAAAGCACATTAGGACCCCTTTTGAAGAAAGATGCTATAAAAGTGTAAGTAGTGGCCATTATAATTTTTCAAAACACACTTATAATTGAAAGATTCAGCATTTAGTAGCTTAGTGTCTCTTCTTCTCTATTTCTTAGGTTATTCAAGTTTGAGATTAAGTATTTCCAAAAAGTAGCAAACCCTTAAAGGTTTTTTCAGGTGACAACGCAAAAGTAGCCTATAGACAAGTTCTCATTTTGACTTTGTCAAATATTAGTTTGGAAAATAACATATCATATGGTATGTTCAAAATATTTGTGATTTTTATCTCAGTGGGTGTTTTGGTGATATTGCTGTGAAGATGAAATGGCGTGCACAGTGGAGATGACAGTTGTGAAATCCATGTAACACAAACAACAGATGGTTATGGATTTTTACTTTTGGACAGGACCTGGGCTCCTATGCTTTTCTTCCTCCCTGGTAACTTTTTCTTATTTTGGTTTTAGAAATACTAGCACAAGGAATTCAGTGGCCATGGATAAGGAGACTGAGAAGCTTTCTTAAAGTGACCTATGTCCTTTGTTGTCAGGGACAAGCATTTTTCTCCATCAGAATATGCAAAGTGTTGCATTTTAATAACCTCATTTAGAGTGTCCTTGAAAGCAGAACTTATCAACTTTCTGAATGCCTCATGGGCATGAGGGAATACTTCACATTTAGCCTAAAATATATGTAAAACATCTATGTCAAGTTAATTTGAGACTCACAGATAAAGGAAAAGAAGTCATAATGAGGTGACAGAAGAACAGAGCATTTTGAATCTTACTAGCAAATGGAGA